ACTGGAAATGCTGCAGCGCCTTTGCAGGACGTGCAGATTTTCGGCATTTTGCACCGTTGTTTGGCTGGAAGCATTTTTCTGCTCACCGGTAAATTAAGATAAGATAAATACCTTGCCGCATCATCTTATCATGCGAGCTTCCGAGTGAGGCAGAGGACGGCGAAAAACTAGGCATTGACTGGCTCAGGAAGCTAGGATAAACGTACCCACATTGTGTCAAACTTAGAATCGCAGGAGTTTACAGCATACAAAAATTTTCGAAAACTAAAAGCAAATAAACCCGAGAAGTAGTTCCGTGTGACGTTACGATTTGTAGTCTGAAGGAAAAGATCATCCTGACACAGTTATCTTGACCAGAACCTGGACCATGTGTATTAATGCGCGAAAGCTCGAACCGAGCTCCTCACCCTCGGAGGCAGCGGAGACGGTGTTGAAATGATTGTCCACAAACTGCCCCAACCTTTTCGACAAACTCGGCGATGTTGAACAGTCAGCTTGTCCTGAACAACCGTCCATAATCGCACTCACGGAGACCTGGCTCACACCAGATGTCTCTGACGCGGAGATCTCGATAGACGGTTACTTTATTTTTCGGGCTGACCCAAAACAAGGGAGGGCTGGTGGTGTTGCTCTGTATTTACGTGCGGCCCTACCAATCCCGATTGCCCCTCTAACACCACCCCCGCACCCTTCTGCGATGGACTTTGGGTTCAAGTCCCGCTGCACGGGTCCGATTCTCTCCTTCTCGGCGTGGTCTACCGTAGCCCGTTGAGTCCCCCTGAAGATGACCAATTCCTCACACAAACCCTCTAGCAAGTCTCCTTCAACTACCACTTCACACATCTCCTGCTGGTAGGTGAATTCAGCGCTTCAAAGGTCTCCTGGATTGAGCTCCGGCGCGTCAAATCGGGCGGACCTTTTGCAACGGCGCTTATTGAAATCGTCCAACAGAGTGCTTGGACTCAACATGTCGTTGCACCCACCAGATACCGCGCAGACCAACTACCATCCCTCTTGGATTTGGTCATCACCAACGAGAGACACTTCGTTGATCAGGTAATAATTAACGCTCCACTGGGACATAGCGACCACTGTGTGTTGAACTTTGCTTTCATCTGCTATTGGGCCAGTATTATCGAACCTCAATCGTGGTTTCGAGACTTCTGCCGCGCAGACTTCTCGCATCTTTCTTGAACAAGTCACACTGGGCCCAGCTCCAGTGAAAGAACTATATAGCACCATTGTACAGAAAGTTCACGAGGCTGACGCGACATTCGTCCCAAAAAAACCAACACACACTCGGATGGACCGCAGGTTGCCAAAAAGGACTCGGCGACATCTGAATAAAGATCCCAACTCTTTTTCGAAAAGTTGACTACAGGAGATACAGAAGATGAGCTGGCATTTCGTAAAATGCGGAATCGCTGTAAGTCGGAAATCCGCCAATGGAACATGCGAAAACAAGCCACCATTGTGGACCTCGCTCGAAAAAACAAAAGTGTCTTCTTCAAATACATGAGACATCGCCGCAGAAACAAGCCATTCGCGTTCCCCTTGAGGGACAGAAAAGGAGAAACGACGAATGACCCAACAGTGGTATCTGAGGCTTACAGAGAACA